TTCAGAGGGGTCTCATGGGTCTCGCAAGGCTTCACGGCTCCTAGTGTTGAGGGGGTTCTAGGGCTCATAATAGGGCGCATAGGTCTCATATTGGTCATCGCGCTCATACGGTGTCATGGAGGGTCGGGGGGGTGGGGTATGGGGCTCGGCTCGTTGAGTTCATGGGGCTCCTGGGGCTCGTGAGCTCATAAAGCTCATGGGGCTTCTAGCGCTCATACGCCTCAAAGGGCTCATCAGAGTCATGGGGCTTATGGAGCTCGGAGAGCTCATGGGCTCGTAGGACTCTTAAGGCTCATTGGGCTCCTAGGGCGCATTGGAGTAATAGGGTTCGTGGGGGTCATAGGGCCCATGGGGCCCATAGGGCTCACAGAGCTCATAGGGCTCACAGGGCTTATACGGCTCATGGGTTCGTAGGGCTTAAAAACGTTCATTGGGCTCATAGGGTTCACAGGCCCCATAGAGCCCATAGGGCTCATAAAGCTCCTAGGGCTCATAGGTCTCATAGGGCTCACAGGGCTCATGGGGCCCATGGGGCCCATAGGACTCATAGGGCTCGTAGGGCTCATTGGGCTCATAGGGCCCATAGGGCTCATGGGGCTCAGGGCTCATAGGGCTCATAGGGCTCATAGGGCTCATGGGGCCCATAGGGCTCATAGGGCTCATGGGGCTCATAGGGCTCATAGGGCTCATCGGGCTCATAGGGCTCATAAGGCTCATAAAGCTCATAGGGGTCATCGGGCTCATAGGGCTTATAGGGCTCATACAGCTCATAGGGCTCATAGGGCTCAAAGGGCTCATAAATCAGCCTCTTCCTGTTTCCCTCCTTCTCCCTCCTTCGACTTCCTTGCTCCTTCTCCTCTCCTTGTGTGCCTCTCCCCCAGGAGATCGGGCTTCACCTGCGGCTCTGAGTGGAGGATTCGCACTGGGGCACCTTCGGCCGTCTCGTGGCCCTCATGGGGCCCTTGTGATCCGTCTTCCTGGGAGGATCCGTAGAACCCTACGTCACCGCATGTGTGCCGAATGTCCCTTCACATGGACTGTACCCCACAGGGAGCTCCACCGACGGTGAAGAGCCAACGCGTGCGTGCCGCCTCACCGCTCCACCAACGGTGAAGAGCCAACGTGTGCATGCCGCCGCACCGTCCATGGCGGCACACCCGTGATCTGGATTATGAGTTTAGGGGGGCCCGAAGGGGTCTCGCGGCGTGTGGGGGCGAGAGCTCTGGAGGTGTTAGGGTTCCCAAGCCTCACAGGACTCGTGGGGCACCATGGGGCGCCATAGTGGTCGTAGGGCTTGTGGGGCCGACAGGCCTCATATGGCTGATAGGGGTATGGTCTCTCGGGGCTCTCGTGGGGCTCCTTTTGAAGCTCTTTTGGGCTGTATGGCGGCCCTCCTGGGCCGTCCGGGGACCCTCTTGGGCCGTCCTGGGGGCTTGGGCCATTTTGAGGCCCTCTTGGTTCTTATTGGGGGCCTCCTGCGGCATTCTTGGGGCTCTCTGGGAAGCCTTTTGGTTCTCTTTGGGGCCGTCTTGGGGCTCTCGTGGGTCGTTTTGGAGCCCTTTTGTGCTGTCTTGGGGCTCCCTTGGGGTCTTCTTGGGCCGTCCTGGGGCGATCTTGGGGGCCTCTTGGGCCGTCTTGAACGCGGTGACGGCCAAAGAAGCGGACATGCTAAACATGTACGTTTTCCGGAGGGAATGGGACGATTTTAACATCTTGGGGGTCTTCTTGGGGGCCTCTTGGGGCGTCTTGAAGCCACCTTGCGGCCTCTTCGAGCGCTCATGAGCCGTTCTGGAGCGGTCTTGGGCCGCCTTGGGGCTTTGCTGGACCGTCCAGGGATGGCCCATAGAGGCCCCCGAAACCAAAATTTGAATTTGACGTCGGTGGGAGCACCCGGGGCCGAATCTATGTACGGGGGGGGTCATGGGGGTTTTCCGCTATAGGAATATTCGAAGAGGAATGTATGTATGTGTATATATGTATACATATATATAGCTGCACTAATACAATGAGTACCTACATACATAGGAAGTTGATCCGGCCAGACCTTTGTCCCGCTGGGGGCCGCTGGTTCGCGAGCGCCAACGGAGAGCCCAAGACGGCTGCTGATGGCTTCCAGAGGGCCCCAAGCTGTGCCAAAAGGGCTACACGACGCCCACACGATGGCCCCAAGACAGTCCCAGAGGCCCCCCTTTCGCCCCAAGACTCACCCCAAGAGGCCTCCCAAGGGAGCCCCAAGAGGCCAACATCGTCACATTCTTTCCGTAAGATGTACATATGCTTTGCATCAGCAATTTTTCCCCTTCCTGACGCTCCAAGGCGGCCCAAGACGCCCCAAGATCACCCCAAGACGGCCTGAGGGGCACTCAAGAGGCCCTCACGGCGGCCCAAGACGGCCCAAGGGGGCCCCAGAACGATCCCCGAGAGGCACCAAAAACCCCCACGGGCCCCGAACAGGCCCCAAGAGACCCCAAAACAACCCCCAAGAGGGGTCAAAACTGCTTCCGAACAGCACCCTGCAAGCCTCTTGGGCCCCCTGGATTTGTACGGCGACGGTCATATTATATATGATTAGTTTAACATAAACTTTTACCCATACATACATCCGTCCATACATACATACATGCATACATACATACAGGCATGCATGCATGCATACATGCATGCATACATGCATACATACAGACATACACACATATACCATAGTGAGGGAGAGGCATGGGTGGCTCAAGCCCCCTGGGCGTGCCGCGGCGGGCGCTGCGAGGGGCGCCCGAGCCGCAGCTGGCCGCGCCCCCGCCGAGGGGCAGGGCCCGGCCCCAGCCGGGGGCGCGCCCCGCGCGCCCGCCCAGGAGGAGGCGGCTGGGCGAGCCGGGGCGGCACCCCCGCCGCCCCGCCCCAGAATGGCAGGAGATGGCGCCCTGGCTCGCCGTGTGCTCGCGATGGCGCTCTGCTGCTCGCTGTGGAGGCCCGCCGCCACCGGGCTGGAGTTGGCGGGCAACGGCTCGGTGCAGATAGGTGGCGTCAACAGCACCCACTTTAGGGTCGCCGGCCTCGACGCCGAGACCGCCATCGCGTGCTACACGGTGTCGGAGGCCTCGGGGCTGCGGTGCCGGGTGTTCCAGGCGGACGGCACCATGGGTCACGAGCTCGTCATTGATACGATTGGTGCGGTCAAGGCCATACGCGTGGTGCCAATGGGTTCAGCTGGATCTTCGACTGGCGCTCTCCTCTGTCACGAAACCGAAAGTTCCATGCCCTGCCAGTGTTTGAACGTTGCTGGTTCTACATTGTTTTCTGGTGCGCAAGGTGAGCCCATGGCCAGTGAAGACTTCATCTTCAACATGGATCTGTTCGACACTTATTCGAATGTTTACGCTCTGAGACAGTTGCAGCTTGCAGCCAGGGACATTTTCTCCGCTGTGATGTGTGCGATACCTGATTTTAGTCAGCGATATGTTGCTTGTGTACTTCTTGGTTGTGCTGGCTCGACCTTGCAAGAGAAAACCGACATGAAATATCAAACATTCATGCCTGATCAAACTTCTCCTATGTTTAGTCTGTTTCTTCTTGAGCATGTGCTTGTGCTCTCCGAGACTTCGTTCGTCATGTGCGGCACGTTTTTTTCACCATCACTTGGTGCGTATTGTTTTGCTTGGGGTATTGACGTGGATAACAGAGCTTTGACGTACCTTGGTTCCGTACAGCTGTTCACGTTTGCTTGGCCCTCTTTTGGGGTCGGTTACCCCGAAGTGGCGGGCGCTGATGAAGTTATTGTAGATGGATTTCAGGGTACGTTGGTGAAGTTGACAGATATTGGTGTGATGGTGTGTTGCCCGAAAAGCCCTTACGTCCAGAACGACCCTGCGCCCAGCGCCAGCAATTACGAGATGATTTGTGTGTGTGTGTGTCGCTGAGTGGAAATAGTCTCAGTGCGGCCAGTTTTGCTCGGCTTGAGCCCACGAGTAGTTCAATTTCTTCGTATACTAGTAGGGGGAGTGAGCGGAACTCAGTTACAACCATGTCATTATGCGACCTCGGCGCGGTCATGTGCTATGTGGTCAGAGGTGAAAACGTCATCAAGTGCTCCCTTACCCAAGCTTCGGGAGGGACCGTGACAGTCGAGCAGGAAGTGGCCGTGTTCCAAGGCAACCAGGTGAACAATTGGACAGTACACAGTGCGCCGTTCATTGTTTCTTCATCCAGTGGGCCATACAACGGCTTCCTGTGCCACTCCTGCGACGAGACTTTCGCTGATACCAGCAACACATGCGACTGCCCCATCCAGTGCACCTTCCTGGAGTAACTGTGTGCATGACTACCACCCAGAGTAGCACGACAAGTTTTTCGGCGGCGAGTTTCACCACCATGTCGAGTACCAGCACTGCTACCACCATGTCGAGTACCAGCACCACCACCATGTCGAGTACCAGCACTGCTACCACCATGTCGAGTACCAGCACCACCACCATGTCGAGTACCAGCACTGCTACCACCATGTCGAGTACCAGCACCACCACCATGTCGAGTACCAGCACTGCTACCACCATGTCGAGTACCAGCACCACCACCATGTCGAGTACCAGCACTGCTACCACCATGTCGAGTACCAGCACCACCACCATGTCGAGTACCAGCACTGCTACCACCATGTCGAGTACCAGCACCACCACCATGTCGAGTACCAGCACTGCTACCACCATGTCGAGTACCAGCACCACCACCATGTCGAGTACCAGCACTGCTACCACCATGTCGAGTACCAGCACCACCACCATGTCGAGTACCAGCACTGCTACCACCATGTCGAGTACCAGCACCACCACCATGTCGAGTACCAGCACTGCTACCACCATGTCGAGTACCAGCACCACCACCATGTCGAGTACCAGCACTGCTACCACCATGTCGAGTACCAGCACCACCACCATGTCGAGTACCAGCACTGCTACCACCATGTCGAGTACCAGCACCACCACCATGTCGAGTACCAGCACTGTACCACCATGTCGAGTACCAGCACTGCTACCACCATCACGGCCACAACCACTCCCACAAGCACTGTCATCACCGACGCTCATACGACTACCACGGACACTACCACAGGCACTGCGACGCAGGTGCCGGGCGCAGCCGGCGAGGCGAGCGCCGCCTTTGCCTTGTCGGGTACCTTGCTGGCGTCTTTCGGTGGAGCTGCTGTCGGACTGGTGGCTGGCTTTGGCACATGCACCTGCCATAGGTACCGAAGGCGGCAGCGTAAGAGAAGGCAGCGACTGGCAGAAGAAGCTGAATTTCTGGAGTGCCACGATGGCGAGGAGATCACCACGCGATTCGAGGTCGAAGGCGGCAAGATGTACATGTCTATCTGCAGCCATGTCACGTCGCTGGACTGGCTGCCCCCCGTCACGACGTCCACCCTGCACGGGCACATCCGCAACCAGCACGGCAGGCAAGCGACCATCCAGACGAGAAAGTTGCCAGATCTCGTTCGGATGTGCGAGAAGGCGGGAGTCCGCCACACCCTGCCAACGAGCTTCGGCAGGAACCAGCAGCGCCTGGCGGAGGAGGAGAAGGAGGCCGCAGAGGAGGAGGTGCCGCACGTGCCGTCCTCGCGGAGTTGCCAGTGGGCCAGTAATGCCTAGTTAGTCCGGGGTTCTGCCTGCGCCCCAGCGGGGTGCGCGTCTCAGTGAATAGGCGCAACCGCTCACTCTAGGCATCGGGGCGAAGATTGTGGGCTGGACTTATCTGGCAGGCGTGTCTTCTGGTCGGAAGCACGTGGCACGGTGCTCCTGACGAGCGTGTGGACGGCATGCTCTCCTGGGCCCCCTTCCTCCGCCCTTCCCTTTGTTCGTGTGCTGTCAGATTCCTCTTTCGTTTGCGTCACAATGCTTCCTTTCCTCGCACCATTCTTGTCTATGATTTCTCACTCGGGCAAGCGATGTTATGGTCCGTGCATCTTGCATCACCCACACATGATCAACCTGCTGTCATTGCGCTTGCTCTTTGGCACGCTGTCTACCCGTGGTCAGTCGCCGCAGCTCTGACATGCAACCCAAGCGCAGGACAGGATGCTCCCTGTGCGAAGTTCATCATCCAAAAGACCTCGCTGTAGCAAAATTTGGTCTGGGATGTCACCAATCGTTTGTCTTCCAGAGAGCTTTGCAGCGCAGCCAGGTTGTTACATGAAGCTGGTCTGAGCGTCGCCACAATAGGCTGCACGTCAGCTTCACTGCAGAGTCTGATCCAGCTGCCTGCGGCAAGCCTTGCCACTGTTAGCAGGAAGGGTAGTACCAACCCGCTCCAGTTCAGTGCCCTCTATGAACTGGTACGGTCCGTAACCACATTGTTTGACATGCGCAGAGTTTTGGGTCCTCGCCAGGACGTCTATTCTCAACGAGGCACTGTGAGGATTGCAGGCGCCGCTATCACACTCCATTTTGCTGCGTTAGCTCGGCGGCGGATTCGCATTAAAAGATGTTTGTCTTCTTCGAGGTACAGCTGATGTACGTATCCTGAGTCGAGCACATGTGTTGTCACCCTTTCGTGGTCTCGTTGTTCATCGCAAGCCGCGTCGTGTGTATCATCCATCGAGCGCGCGAAACTTAAAGCAACTGGCGAACCTGGAGTTACAACGATCAGGTTGCCTATGCTGTTACGGAAGGCGAGGGCGCCTTGATTTGAATTAGCCGCGACGGCTTACCTGCGGATTTCGTAATGGATACCCAGAGCTCCCTCACCGATGCCTCGATGCCACGGCATAGCTCTTCACTTCGTGCGTATGCAACACGGTCTTAGTTCGCAGGCTCTCGTGGAATATTTCACGCGCCCTTCACACCATTCGTGCGCAGCGCAGATAGTGGATGGGGGGAAAAGTTTGAACTTTCCCATTCTCGATCTAGAGTTTGTGTGTGTCTGTGTGTGTACGCGTCTGTGTGCGAGTGGCTGTGTGTGTCTGTATGTTTGTGTGTGTGTGTGTGTGCGGTGGGAGGGGGGAGCAGAGGTTGTCTAGGACTTGCCTGTTTTCCACATGCCGATGGGCGCAGTCTGGGGAGCATGGGGCAGCATGCGGGCTGTAAAAGGGGTGGTTGAGGGTCAATCGCGGCTCTTACTTCGACATGGCAAGGGAGTTCTCAAGATTCAGAAGGACGGCGACGCCACACGTCGTTTCGGTTGATTCCTAAGTAGTGGTGCCACCCTCCCCCCCTGAGTGCAACGTTGGTTCCTGGATGGGCCGCCTGGACCCTTTCAAAGTATTTGAGAAGGGCCAGAGCGGACCACCAAACCCTGATTCGGTAGAGCTTGCCTTGCGCAGCTCGTGGCGTGACACGTGGTGCAACCTCCACGGAGTGGGGTACGAACAATGATTCGGCCGGGCGTGCCGAGCGAAACGAGCAGCGCAACTCGTGGCGCAACTCGTGGCGCAGCCCGTGGAGCAGCCAGCCGCACCACCCGGTGCAGCACGTGGCGCACGTGCCGTGCCGTGCCCTGCCGCGTGACTCTCGAGGTGCCGTCCGCCCCGTGCCGTGCGCTCTGTGCTCCCGTCCCTCGCGGGCCACGCCCCGAACGAGCGCGTCGCGGGCCCGCCTCGTCGATTCGGTGGGGGGGCGGCGCCGTGCTCGGCCTCGCCGTGGCGTGCTCGTTTTGCGGGGCCGTGCGCCGTTGCGGGGCCGTGCTCGCCCTTCAGGAGGAGGAGGAGGAGGAGGAGGAGGAGGAGGAGGAGGAGGAGGAGGAGGAGGAGGAGGAGGAGGAGGAGGAGGGGGAGGGGGAGGAGGAGCAGGAGGAGGAGGAGGAGGAGGAGGAGGAGGAGGAGGAGGAGAAGGAGGATTGGTGGGGGGGTCTGACTTTCCGCTGCGGCTCGGGCGGTTCGGGGCGGGCGGAGGGCATGCTCGCTCTTCGGGTGCTTCTGGTGCCATCGGAGCGACCACTCTCCACGGGCTGCGATGGACGGGGGCGGTCTGGGAAACGCGAGGACCGCGTGAGTCAGGGCCGTGAGGGCTGGAGATTTGAGGCGTTCGAGGGCGTTCGGGCTTCAACTCAGGAGAGACATGCTTATTCGTCGTCGTCGTCGTTGTCGTCGTCGTCGTCGTCGTTCTCGCTTCTTTGGGTCCTTTCGGGGCCCTCGTCGCCACGGCTGTGTTCGCCTTGGCATTCCGGTCAGAATGTCCCCTGGGAGAGGCCTGCAGAGTAGCGGTACGGTTACTTCTGAATTCCCGTATTAACCCAGAGATCCGGCGCTCAAAAAAAAATGAGTGGACGGTTTTGATTGTTTTCAGCTTCGGGGGCCCCTCGCCGGGCCTAAAAAAACGACCCAGGACGAAAAACCGGACCTAGGGAAGTGGTCCAGATCTCTGGGGCCCACTCATAGAAACACTTGGAGCAGCCATACTATGTCTGGAAATTTGGATATCGCTCACATGCGTGTATGGTGCTTCATTCTCGTAGCCTGTTTGGCATGGCATTCCGTCAGAGAATCGGGCATCGCACGATGGGCACATACTGCGTCATGTTGCTTACGAGTGCGTTCGCTGGGCATGGTCGGACGGGCCAGGACGAGGATCAATCCGTTCCAGAGCGTTCGTGAAAACGCTTTCAAAGCGCTCCCGAGCGCTCCGAGAAGGCCACGGCGCCCGATGCATCCTCCAGAGCCGCGGGATCTCAGAGATTCTCGATTTTCAGCGAGCGAAGAACGGTATAAAATAAACTTGTTCGCCGTCGGGAACACCTGCCCCTGGGCGGCTGGAAAGTGTATACCCCTACTGTGCCACCGTGAGGGTATAAACTTTCCAGCCGCCCTGGGGCAGGTGTCCCCGACGGCGAAACAGTTTATGTTGTACCGTTCTTCGCCCGTTAAGATTTGCCCTTCCCCGAACTTATCCTCGTCCTGGTCTCGTCCTGCATGGCATGGCAGCTGGTTTAGAGTGCGCGCGGCCGGACGCGCGGTCCCCATCGCGGCAGTGTCGCCCGGCGGCCGTGCGCGCGCCTGGGCGCTGAGAAACCAGGAGAGAAAAGGCGCGCGGGTGCCTCGCGCGAGGCGCCGAGCACTGGGAGGGGGAGGAGGGGGAGGAGTAGGAGGAGGAGGAGGAGGAGGAGGAGGAGGAGGAGGAGGAGGAGGAGGAGGAGTTGTCGCGCCTGCGCTCGTATTTGCAACACGTCTTGGCCACATGGGGTCTTCGAGAGGTAGCATGGTCACCCGATGCTCAGAGAGTGAAAAGGTACCCATACCACTACCCTTCCATTTTTCCTTTTGGGGGGCCTCCTTGGGGGCCCTCGTCGCCACCGCCGCTGGATTCGCTTCGAAATCCTGGTCAGAACGCGCCCCAGGAGAGGTCAGGGGAGTGGCGGTAACGGTACATGTTGGTTTCCCCAGTCTTCGAGAGGTGGCATTGCCACCCGATGTTTCGACGTCTCATGCTGTTGGCGCTGGTTGTCCCTCGCCTTGGGGGTGTACGCTCTTCGCAAATCCCGTTGGGATCGCTTGGGAAATCGCCTCTCTGTGAGGGACAATTCAACGCGTGTCCACATTCTTTCCCGGAATAGCTCTTTTGTTATGTCGCATCATGGCATCATGGTGTAGGACGCGCGTCGGGAAGTAATATTGAGTAGTTGCAGGTTTGGTCAATTGTTACTGAGATGCCGCGATACAGATCGTTGGCCGTTCGCAACATGATGTACACATCGTTTTTGCGTGAGCCTTGTGGCGCACAGTAGACGTAGCACAAGTCGCACTCCCAGCAAGCAGGACATCGGGTAGTTGTGATATCTCGTTCAAGCAGTGGAATAGAGGTGACCCCGTTTGTCGCAATTGTGTAGCCTGTGTTGCTGGTGGGGGTGGTGCCTGCTGGCGAGTTTGATCGAACAACAGGTTTCTATCGTGCGTCGTCCCGGCATCGTGGGATGATGTAATTGATTCCTGTCGTAGCGGCTACTGCAAGCCAGTGGATTTCTTGACGCTTCGCGTACCCCCACCAGCCGCCGGGCTGGACGCTGCCAGCGCCAGTGAAGGATCCTGGCAGGCCCCACCTCCCAGGATGGACCTTCCCCGATGATTGGGACCCAGTGCCAGTCAACTTCCGTGCAGGAATGACGCGCACGACTTCGTCACCCCCTCGGACACTACCCACTCCAGTGACTTGCGCCCGCCGTCGCAGCTCCGGATGGCATGGGGGAAAGTGTCCAAGGAGCGGCACAGCGTCTGGGGCTCCACCGGCTTACCCCCCGCGCAGCTCAAGGGACCCTTTGCCAGGCGGGACACATGGGACGGCACGCCCAACGAGTCCAGCAGGGCCTCCTCGCAGGAGCCCGCTGATTGGCCTCGATTCGAAAGAGTGGAGTTCACTGAACAGCGCAGCCAGCACGGCGCACCCCCAACGCTAACGAAGAAGGTCTTGCTCGAGTCATCAGCGGTCGCTGCGGCTGAAGCCATTACGCAGTTATACTCAACACCCACCAACAGCGCAGCCGCTCAGTTCTGCCTTCACATCCCCATCGGTGCAGTTGCCAAGGGCGTGAACCTTCCAAGACACTGGGAACAGGACCTGCGGCAAAAGGGGCGTTGCCTCGAGAGGCTGGCTTGGACCGAGTGCATGGCAGCCACCGAGACTGTCTGGGACAGCTCTACCAAGGCCAGAACGGACCTAGAAAG